GACTCTGGCGGGTCTCAACCAGAAGATGGCTGCTCAAATTATACTCCTACCGATAGCGCCAGTGGCTACCAAGCCGCAAGCTCGACGTCCAGCGCGCCTCGACTAGAAGACGGCTGGCCAGATTATACTTCGCCGCTCGATATTTATCGAGAACAATACAGCACCCTCCTATCATTCTCCGATTATTTCATTAGAACATGTCCCTCACTTTATACATCTCAACTCAAAGCATACCCCGAACTCTATAAGCAAGCTCCTTGCTATGAATATTATGTACTGATCTTTCCCTAGATGAGGTGGTTTCTAAAGACAAGGGCAATGCGGCTCGAGGCCCCAAGATTAAGGCGATATCTTCTACATTGACTGAGACCGACGAGGCAAGAATTTCCCTCGCCAAACTACCTACTGGTCAGCCCGATTCTAACACACAATAGAAGTACCGAGACCGCACCGGCTTGAGATAAACTCGAGCAACTGGCTTCCAGCACTGACTGGCGTTGACAAACAGAGCAGCGAAAGCTTCTAGAGATTTTTCAAGGCTCTTACCGCGCATCAAGACACATTACACTATCCAGTAAACATATTGACGCGAGACTCTATCTAATCTACTGCCCTGTAATACGTACCTCTCCCATTGCTGAATGATCCCACGTTCATGCATGCTTGTTAGCGCTTATGCTACAGCGGGGAGGCTTCCAGGAGTTCATGCTAGCTCTTTTCTTGGGGCACCAGTCGTAGTTGCGCTATGAGATTGCTAGTAGAAGATCGGAAGCCGCCGTTGATACCCTACGTTGAGATTTACGTTTGTCCGGTGTACGGGTCGCAGTTGCGCTTAGGTATGAGATTGCCAGTCTGGCAAGAAGATCGGAAGCCGCAATCAATGCTTCACGCGTAGATTTACGTCTGTTCACCCCCGCACGCGTGTCTTCCCTCATCACCACCGATTGTAAAGCAATCCGTCCCCCTCCCTTTTCCTCTAGTTTCATCATTTTCTATATTCAACAACATCTTAGGTTTCATTTTATAGCGATAACCTATCTCTCTATCTTTGTTACCATTGCCTTCTTTAATCGTGAGTTAGTCACAACATCCCGGACGTCTTCCCTTCCCAAACCAAGCCTGACTACAGCTGTGAGTTTCAATCTAACGCCCGTGGTCAACAGCACTAACGTCACTGCTTAAGGGAGGCGTATCACGCCCTGTTGGCCCCATGGCTACCAGAAGAAGCTCCCGACGTACACGCAATGGCGAGCATAGCTCAGCGTATTCCGACCATGACCATATCTCTTCACCCTCAGCACTGGGGAACACCAGTTCGGTGGCCAGCAGGTTGAGGTACCGAGTGCCAGGAAGATTTGCCGGCATGGACAGTTCCAAAATGCAAAGTCAGGATGACGAAGACGACAAGGACTATCAAGACATTGAAGACGATCATGAAGATGAGGACTATGAAGATGACGAGAACCGTGATGATGAAGAGAGTGACGAAGACAGTGGGGATACAAGATCTGACGATGAATCTCCTGTCCCACGGGGCCGTATCGGAGCCGACATAGCCCTGTATCGTGGCTCCAACATCCCAGCCCTTCATGATCCCTCCCGATGTGGCCCTTTATCATTCCTCTGGGGTCGATGCCCCTTATTATATTTTTCGGGTCGATGCCCTTTATTATTCCTCTGGGGTCGATGCCCCTTATTATATTTTTCGGGTTGATGCCCTTTATTATTCCTCTGGGGTTGATGCCCCTATTATCCTAGGTATGTGTTGCCATTGGGTGGAATGAGATTGCTCTTGGCCGTCGACCAAGGAGTCATGCATGGTTTGTACGACAATCTAATGCATCTGGCTGAAGCAGAGCATAATGAAAACAGACAGTCGACGTACCTAGAGAAGTAAGAAATCCTCGGGCCTATCCATCTTGGCATTTCATATCTTGACTTGACAACTTTCAGAGCACAGCCATTCTGTCAAGGGCAAGATGCTTCCCATACGCCTCTGAGTTATTGACCATTATACGCAAGATAATTATAACTAACTTTCGAATGTCTTAGGGTGCTCGAAGAAGAAAAGACTACGAGAAATTGCTTCTGGCTCATTCACAGCATGCCCAAGCCATTGCTAAGAGCGGCTATACTCGGGTCGATGCCCTTTATTATTCTTCTGGGGTCGATGCCCCACCAACGACCAACTACACGTTTCGACGGGAACCTACGCGTGTGACGGACCGGGCACTTATGCTGCCAACATTGCTGTCAAGGGCCGGCATGGTAGGCGAAGGATGGGACAGCCCAATACGTCCAAGCAGACGCACAATATGGCAGTGTGAAATCCCTCAGGTCGATGCCGATATGGGAACTAATGCAGGCGTCAGCGATCCCGTGGCACAGCTGTTGAGCTATCATGGGTGCTCGGATTACTCGATTGAGTTCTGCGGCAAGAATCACAAACCTCCTCTGGAGTGCAGTAAGAACAAGGGCAACTATACACACTGGCTGCTCATGAGTCTAATGCAAAACCGGGATCTAGTTCCCGACATCCGCGTTACCCCAGTCGTCAGGATATGGGATCAGATTCAATTATCGGCGCCAGAGATCATCGGCACCATGTTGGGGATGGGTGGCTCCCAGGTGAAGCAGCAAGGCCTTAACGTCGTACTGCCTAGCCGACACTATGGATTACAGTCCTGCTATTCTTCTGGGGTCGATGCCCCAGGTGAAACAACAAGGACTCAAACTCAACGTCGTACCACCCGGCAGACACCATGGTTCGAATAAGAATAAGAATCGTGACTATTCAATCGACCAGATCGCAGCAATGCATCTTCGCCCTCATCTGATGAACAACCTCAAAGAGACTCAACAGGCGATCAACCATAGAATCAAGTTGTTTGATTACGCTGATAAGTGGCGTCATTCATACCCCTTGTCTCTGATTATGCCTTTTTCATTTCCTAACTCTGGCTCTACAAGCACCCGTAATGGAGAACAATTGGATTAACGGCTAGCACGAACATTTCTCTCACACGCTTTCGATGGCTCCAACTTCAGCTAACAGGATCTCTACAACACCCGCTCTCCCTGGGGTCGATGCCTCAAATATACTAGTTGTCGTCGAAGAACCGAAACCTCCCCAAGAACAATGGCCAGCCATCGTTAAGTTTGATGCTCTTGTTCAAGCCGCAGCTCTGCATGATCCCCATGCGACTGCTATCTGAGTCGCAATTTGAATTGGCTTACTACCACATTTCGGTATCGTGGCAGGTTGATAACGGGCGCCTTGACGAATGTAGGAAAACTCAGCTTAGCTTAATAGATACCAATACTAGCCCTTATATTCTGAACGAATGTCTTTGGCTTTGCGTGGGTAGACTCTTTGGATAATTGATCATTGCCTGCCTCATCTCGTAGAGCACCTAGCCCTCAGCATACTGTCAGACCCTTAGAGTGACAGAACAAAGAAAGCATTTCTATATAGGTCTCCTTGTGCGACAACAAGTATTCAAGACTTAATGATTTATTGAAGGCAACTGATGTGTCAGACAGGATCGTATACTAGCCCGAATACCAGATTAGGAAAGTGGCCCAATTTCGATTGGCTAGTCCCTAGAATAACACCAACTTAGATTAAGCATCTGGGACAGAATTAACTCTCGGAGTTGGCAAATCACTGACGGGAAACAGGTGTCAGGTCGATTAGCGCCTCCTTCATTCTTTTCCTGTAACAATCAGATATCATCTGCTCGATCTAGAATCTTAGCACATCTTCGGACGGAACGGCCCTACCGATCGTAGCCCAGAATGGTGACGGAGCACTAGTCTCCGTCTCCGACCAACACGCCAGTCCGCAACGGATCATGAAAGCCACGGAGTCGCTGAGCGACTGTCCGTCTTCGACGAGTATAAATGTCGCCTCCAACTAGGTCATGAAAACATGGGTATCGAAGTTGTTGCTTGGCTTTAACATTTTGGTGCAGATCAGAGATAATCAATATGCGGTGGGCATCTTGGGCACTGTTAGCGATCGGCATCGTCGGCGGGGCGAATGCAGCCGCGCTAACCAAAGTCACTGAAAACTTCGGTGCAAACCCGAGAAACGTGGGATTTTATATTTACGTGCCCGATAAGCTTGCGGCGAACCCTCCGATCTTAGTCAACCCACACTGGTGCCACGGCGATGCAAACGCATGCTACGCCGGATCGCAGTACGCGACTATGGCATCGAAATATGGCTTCATAGTCATATATCCCGATAGTCCTAACACTGCTGATAAGTGTTGGGACGTGTCGTCGAATGCCACCTTAGCACACAATGCGGGCGGCGACAGCTTGGGGATAGTCAGTATGGTCCGCTGGACACTGAACAAATACAAGGGCGATCCCAAACGAGTATTCGTCACAGGTGTTTCTTCGGGCGCGATGATGACAAGCACGCTGATCGGGGCGTACCCGGACGTCTTCGCTGCCGGCTCTGCATTTGCCGGTGTTCCTTTCGGCTGTTTTGCCGGGAATGGGTACGGCGTTTGGAGCGACGCGTGTGCAAAGGGGAAAATCACACACACGCCGGCGGAGTGGGCGGCATTGGTCAAGTCAGCCTATCCCGGATACAGCGGTTGGAGGCCTAAGATGCAGATTTTTCACGGCACCGTGGATGAGACGCTGAATTACACGAACTTCGGGGAAGAGGTCAAAGAATGGAATGCTGTCTTGGGCTACAGCCAGACGCCCACCACCACGACAGCCAACACACCTGTCAGCAACTGGACGAAGTACACATATGGTAACAAGGATTGGTTTGAGGCCTATAGTGCTGGAGGCGTGTCACATAATATCCAGAACCAGGAGGCGGTGGTTATGTCTTGGTTTGATCTTACCTGTACCTCGGGGAGTTGTTTTAGCTGGGGTACAGGTGGTGCTTGATTTGGATCATTGATGTTGTTAACCTTGGAATTGAATATCAATTTATAAGTGATAATCAAACCAAAAAAAAAAGAAAAATTCATTGACCTCGCTGGGGGTCGAACCCAGAATCTCCTGATTATCATGCAGAGTCAATCGTGGATATTGACTCTATCTCGTAGTCAGACGCCTTGCCATTGGGCCACGAGGCCGATTAATCATGAAAGAAGGTGGTTCAACATGGGTCTATGACCCAAATGAGGGGCCTAGCTGCGGGGTATCCTGGCGAGCTACCTTTGTATTTCTACAGCTACCAAACTTACCACTGACTTTTTACTACGCAATAGTGATCCATTCAGTGAAACAATATGCCCTCTTATCATCAGATAATGCGATGACATGGTACCAATACATATGAAAAGGGAGATGATTTAAGTACCTAGTTATCTTTCCTCCGGCTTGATCAAGTGAATTCTGCGTCGCGTTTGTTGAAGTTTTCCGTACCTCGCCCACCCTAACAATAAGCTGAGCAACACAACGTACATACCTTTCGTCTTACTTAATTCATCTTACTTAATACATCTTGGCAAGTAGACGACACAAGCGCTTCACATCTACTACGCCCTGGGCTACACGCCGTGGTGACTTGTTCAGCGACAAAAGTATGTGGTCCACGACGATCAGGTTCCAAAGCCCGAAGTGGGGGTCACTTTCTCCCAAAAGACAGCAAAGCCTTGGACATGTCCCAAAAATCCGGAAAACACGGCATTGGTGAATATGAGGTAGGAAATAGCGATAACTTCAGTGCGACCGAGAACCAAGAGTTGCGCGAACGAAGTCTAGTTTCTTAATCCATGACTTTCTATGATGTGGTGTCGAAACTATGTGATACGAATAGCGGCGAGTCGCGAGACCACATCTGTTGAATGATCCGATTCAATGAGATTCGTCACCACGCTTCCTCGCAATCCACTTTTTTACACGATATCCCATTATGACCATGAACAATCGATCAAGGGTGGAAAACATTCGAGTCTCGGCTTAAGACTAGTGGGCACTGCCGGCAAGGGTACCTAGTATCTTAATACTCGTGCTAATAGAGGCAGTCGTTGCGATCTCTATACCACTACGAGGTCGTTGAAACATCATGATGCCGTCTCGTAGGGCCGAAGAGCTTATTACGCTCCTTGACAACATCGAAGTATCTGAGTATAAAGATGATTCTAGCAGCCATGGTGATCGCGTCGTAGTCGCCGAGGCTGCGCGACGACTCCTCGCTCGTCTAGAGACACCTTTTGAGCGGTGTGTATAAAAGCCTCACGTGCTTAGTCCCTTATACTCTCCTTATTTCATATATATTAGCAAGTTCTGCGTTTTGATCTCTAATTAACGCATTTCTATACATATAGTGCATGGCGACTCTCTTGGATCAACGGCAATGTCCATGCAGCAATACAAATTATCTTGGATCTCGGGATTTGGGAGAGTTGGTATCTAAGCAAGCAACGTGAAATCTCAGTGCTAGAGCTTCACGCTTTAGCTGAGAAGCCATGCGATTTGAACCTTCTCCGTAAGTTGGTCGATCTCGCTGCGCATATCACCAGAAAGCAGATTCAATACGGGTGTTAAAGTGCGCTTTAGTATCAATGATGAGAGCAGCCACTAATGACATGTGAAAGGCCGTTTACTTCGGCTTTTGACTGCGGAGCATGTCATTCAGGAGCTTGGGGAAGATCGATACGGTGCGACTACCTTTTCAGATGCTTTGGGCCAGAGGGAAGAGTCTGTCGCTCAAACCATCGTGTCAGGGTACGTAGCAGGCTCGTTGCGCCCCTTTGCTTTCTCTAACGTTCATGTGCACTTAAAAGGACGCATCATGGCCTAGATTCAAGTCAGAACTTACCTCAATTCTTGTCACGAACGGGATATGCAGAGCCCTTAGACCCGAAAAACACAAGTTATATGGACCTGACTCCAGATCGCCTGGGTATGTTCGAGCGATGCCGCGCAAACCCGGACTATCAATCCAGCTTCATCGGATTCATGCGTGGGCTCGCGGCCTACAAGCTGGACTGGACTGAGATCTACGATACGAAAATTCTTATGCGTGATTTCAATGCTTACGGAGAAGAGGCACTTCTGGTCGACATAGGAGGTGCTCATGCTGTAGATTTAGAGCGTCTGCTATGTCGGTATCCCGATTTGCCAAGTGGAAAGCTCATATTACAAGATACGCCAGACGTCATCGCAATGGCGACGGTGAGTGAAAAGATTCAGGTCATGGATCACGACTTTTTCACGCCTCAGCCCGTGAAAGGTGAGCAAGAGACCCTTGACCCCGACCTCCCACCCTCAATCACCTGTAGCCTACCTTTCGTATAGTCTTACACTGCCAGTCATTCAACCAACTTGGAGGGCATGATCGTGTTGTTAACATATCTTTAATGGCCTAGGGGCTCGGGCCTACTTCATGCATGCAATCATCCACGACTGGGACGACTCTGATGCTGGTCGCATTCTCAACAATATCGCTGCAGCGATGACAAAGAACTATTCAAAGCTTCTGCTTTACGAGAGTGTTCTCGTGAGTCAAGGCGCGACGATGTATCAAACTGTCGCAGACGTCAGCATCATGCACCTTATATCAGCAGCTGAGCGAACAGAAGGAAGATGGAGGGAACTACTTCAGGCTGCCGGCTTCAGGGTGTGCAAGATATGGTGTCATCCTTCGTCGCTAGAGAGCGTGATCGAGGCCGAATTGATATAAATCAATTCCAATCAGAAAGCAAGATATAAAACGCCATTAGTCACGTCCAATTGATTGCGCGGAACGTCAAGTAACAGTAATCAAGCGGCCTATTAGTCATGATCTCGTAAATTCGCAACGACATTCTCTTCATCCAGTCAGACAACGCTCAATTTTTTGGATCTCATATCAGATCCCTTTGCCATCTCCCGTTCCTTGACTCACGGTGTCTTCTTCGTATCAGTGTACGAGACCCAATATGCCTCACATCCAGCTCTCAGCTCACTTCGAGAACAGCATTCTCTCAGTTTCCGATCTCAAAGTCTTTTACTCTTTTCACTCTCGTGCCGCTGTGTCAAAAGCGCAATCCCAGTAATCACCGCACCTGCTCCCTCCCATATCGCGGGCACGCTCCAACCTTGAGCAAAGAACACGGCAGTAGTGAGCAACCGCATAGGTACAGTGGCGACAAAGAACGTCGAGTTTTCTTGGTACGCTGCTAATGCATAGTATAGTCCCATCGCGATAGCAGCGAGCGCGTTACCTCGGGCTACGGGCGTGCAGGCGAGAGGGAAGTTGAGCTGCGAAGCCGACGAGGACGGGTCAATCAGGGACGCGACGCCCGCTAAGAACGCCGTAGCACCAAAAATGTAAATCGTGAGGGCTGCCGGGGAAGGCATATTATGTATGTTTGAGGCTTGAGTAAGAGCGAAGGAGGGATTGTGATGATGATATTGGACTATGCAAATATGAGCTCCAGGCCGTTTGTACGCGAACAACTTGGATATAGTGTGTGTGCCATGACCACCTTGACTGCTACTGTTTGCAAAACGAAGGTAAACATGTCTCAAAGCTCCACATTATTATGCTAATTATGTTGTTACATCGAACCGGGTTACATAGCAGCTATGAGACATTGCTAGCTTGCGGATGCATGCCTATGTGTGCTCGAGGTTGGGTTACCCTTGCAGGAATGGGCCTGTGAGGGCCACGACTAGGACTGAAATAGTGCTCATGATACACTAGCTAGCGGTTAGCGACAGTAGACCCAGCATCCGTCCTGACTCCCTGCCGGTGGCTGTCCATAGAATTACGTACTCTGTACGACATTCGGTCTCTGTGTATAAACAATCAGATGGAAATGTCAACATAGAAGATTAACATGGCAGCTGGAGATATATCCTTTTACACTGCGAGGGTGCCTAGATATATATCATAACCAATTTTGCTGTATCATCACTTTATAGGGAGTGGGCGACAACAACTACAATGCGCCACAGCCTATCTATGTCAGTGCCACATCAGACATCTCCACAACCTAATCATAACATCAACACGGACCCGGGAGTCGTTATAGTTTTTCTTGAAAAAGCCTACATGCGTCCGGAATGGCTCTTACGATAATTTTTGAGACTAGTGAAACGGCCACGGGTGAATGCAAGTCCCGCAAACCTCAGTCACGGAGGAAATCTAGAAATTACGCATCCAAGGCTGATAATCTTCAATAAATTCAATGGGGCATTAAGTGATCACGTAGAATTGAAGCTTTTTCAAGCGATAAAGTAGAAAATAACGATTGAATTGATTGCTAGAATCTGCGGTGTGTAAAAGTCCAAAATTTCGAATCCATCGCGAAGTTCGTACAATAATTAACACGAGTGGCACCCCTTACCCCTTGACCCTCACGTGTATTTCGAACCCCGATATCGCAATTTTACATAAGCCACCACACTTACACTGCTTCACTAGATAATGCTCTAGAAGCACTAGGCAACAGCCAGGCACGAAACCGCGTCGGATTGCTAATATCGCCGGCCGCCGTCGACGTTCCGGAAATCCAACGGAACATCGCCCGAGGTCTTGGGACCTTGCCCTATACTATTTCTTAAATGCAAGTATTACATTCATACTTCTCCAATAGACGACACGCAAATAAATGAGAGACTCCTCCAACTTAGAATGCCAGAAAAGTCTCTCAAATAATTTGTGTGTCGACTGCTACCTTGCGAAAGATCCCACCAAACCAGCATCTAATGCCAACCCATTTCTCACTTCTGAGCCCTAGTCTTCCCACCAAATCTTCAGTAACAGCCGTCTCTCTGATCCCTGTTCCTCCCTCGTCAGTCTCAACTTCCAGTCCATGCTTTCGCGCTTCCAGCAACACTTCTTCGACAGTATGCGCGTAGCTGGTCGGTCGTATCTTCTCGCCTGTCGCAGTGTCCACGAATCCAGCTTGTGAGATCCCGCCCATTTCAGAGTGCATGTTCGTAAGTAGTAGCACGCCTCCAGGACGCAGAAGCTGTGCTACATGCGCAAAGAATACAGGGAGCGGGATGTGTTCGATGACTAGGGTGCTGATCACGGCGTCCGCTGTGTGAGGTGCCACGGATGATGGAGATGAAGAGGTGGCCACCATGTCAAAAATATCGAAACGAAGACTGGGATTGCTCTCCGTAACTTCGGTGC